AGAGAAGTTCTTCTGTGTGTGCTGTGGAGGCAGGATAAGCAGAGGGAAGTGATACCTCTCTCAAATCACTGAAGGCCCACTTACTGCTGTAAGTTGGGAGGCATATGTGGCCAGTTATATTGCTCAGATGACAGGCAATTAGCTTCTTAAAATGAGGCAATTCAGTTGCTTTCTAGAGTACGACCACACATGCGGACACAAACAAAAATCAAGGAAAACAGCTGGGATGTGATAGAAAAGCTTGATCAATAACGTGCTGAAAGAGAAGGGAAAACTTCAATGCAGCTTGTAGCTGTTACTTGTAGGAACGACACCAGAGAGATGATTGCTTCCGTAAGGACTTGAGTGTGGGAAGCAAAGACATGCAATGGCCTTTGGGGGTGTGAGAGCTGAAGGTGCTCAGCAGCTTGCCAGCTGATGGCACATAGATGCCATATGCCCTACGCACCTTGCCATACCGACTTCAAACTTTTTGTTTGCTTCATTGGCAGGTCTGCTGTGTCATAGCAAAGAATCATATCTAGGCTCTGGGCTCTGTGGTTTATGCAAGAATGTCTGATATCCTCCAGCATGACAGCTACCTCACATCTGATATCGTCATTGCACGGACTCTGTCTTTTCTTGGTTTTAGTGCCAGAATTGCTTAGCAGAGGAAGTTCCAGACTGCTGAATTGCTTTCTTAAGTCTCCACCCAGTTCTTCAGTAGTTATTCAATTCCTTATTTAGCCAGTGATAGGGGGATAAGGATACAAAAAGATTCTCACAGTTTGACTGGTAAGTTGCTAGACAAATACACTAATATTTTGCTTTCTCCTTACGGATGACATTTTTGCGCGTCCATGAGCTTGATTCTGTTTTTTTGCATACTCTAGTGTAAATCAGGGGTGTTCTCACTATATCCAGTAAAACTATATGAGAATAAAATCAATGGGAAAGAACCAAATCCCATGTGTCACATATTGGATTGCACTGTTTTCAGCAATATTCCCTATAATCTCATGCAAAGCATGCCAAGAGTGAAGGCTTCCCAAGGGCTTTCCTCCCCTTGTAATAAAGTATCTAAAATATTCAATTCATAACTCCCCTGTTGGGAAACATTGCCCAAAAATCCTAAACAAGATGCCTTTCCTTGACTCTGTGTCTGTGGAACATTGACATAACACATGGGACATTCTCCCATAGATTACAATGCAAAGCATTTCCAGGCTCTACATTTTAGTCCCTATAATCTTTAATACAAACATGGCCTGCTCTTCTCTAGACATAAAGCATGGCATTGCTGGGCCATGGAGAGGAAAGTTCAAAGCAAGAATACATGGAGTACACAACTCTTCAACTCATGTACATATTGTTGCATCAGCTACTTTACAAAACTCTTAACATTCATGAGAACTAGAAACCTATTTCTT